GTCGCCGCCCGCCTGTGCTGGGCTGCCGATGGGCAGGAGAGGGAACTCCCCGTCCTTGTTTTTTCCCCACTAAAAGCCAGTTGAGGTGGAAAATTTAAATTACGGATTTATAAATGATGAGCTATGAAGGTGCCTAATGAGAGCCTCCCCCGCAGAGAAGGTGGTAGTGTCCCAACGACGTGGGTACTTTACGACATGCTAATGAGCAGGGGGCTTCCACTGGCACCGGGGGTGGTCCCAAAGCCCCCAGTTTCCTTGACGGCCGTCCCTCGCCCGCAGCAAGGTCTTCTTCATGGTGATGCGCCATTACTTCCGCTCAGAGGAGGGGGGCGAGCGCTCCGTCTGCCTCACCTTCGCCTTCTTCTTCCTCCTCCTCGCCATGGTGGCTCTTGTCATCCCCGAGGACTACCTGGAGTTCGGCCTCGAGCCCGGTGGGTGAGGTGGATGGGGACAGGCGGGTGGGCAGGTGGTCCCGGGGGGCTGTGGGCATCCCACTCACGGGGGGTCGCTCCTGCAGGGCTGGCCGGCGTCAGCAGCAACCTGGAGAGCATCCTGAAGCAGCGGGGCTGGGAGTGGACGTGAGTTGGTGACTGGGCAGGGAGGGAAATGGGGTTTTCGGGAGTTTTTACTGGGTGGGCACCCCTCTGGAGCTCACTGGCCATGGGGTATCCCATCCCCCCTCATGCTACCTTCTCTCTCCACAGGCCTCCCCTCGCCAAACTGGCCTTCAAGCTGGGGCTGGTGGCCCTGTGCTCCTTCCTGGGTGCCTGCCTGACCTTCCCGGGGCTGCGCCTGGCCCAGACCCACCCCGATGCTCTCCGGATGGCGGCTTTACCTCGATGCTCTCCGGATGGCGGCTGACAAGCCCCTGACCCAGTTAGGTGAAAGCTGTGGGTGGGGAAGAGATGAGGGGGTCTGTGCTGGCACCTCAGGGGCTGGACCCCTCCCCACGCTATGGCTGCAGGGCAGCGAGGAGGTTTGGTGGTGGGAGAGGGCGCTGGGGGTGTGGGAGAGGCCGAGTCCCTGCCCACAGAGGGATGCAGGGAACGGGGCAGTGGGGGGCAGCAGGCTGTAGGGGGGTCTCTGACCGCTCTGTCGCAGGGTCCTGCTCCATGTGAGTTTCCTGGCACCCGTTCTCGTGGTGGTGATGTGGATCAAGCCCATCTCACGGGATTTCCTGCTCCATGCACCCATGGGCAAGCAGACGGTGCAGATGTAAGTGAGGTGCCTACAGCGGGTCTGACTGTGCCCCGGCATCCTTGCTCTGAGGGGAAACTGAGGCACGGGTGTACCAGTCCACCTCCTCCAACACCAGTAGCTCTCCATCTTCCCCCCATCAGACACCCTCTGGGGCAGAGGGGGGTTCTGGACCCCGAGACCTCCCTGACCGCCCCCTCCTCTTGCCCCAGCATGTCGGACTCTGCCTACAACATCGTGCGCCTCTGGACCATCGTCGGCCTCTGCCTGTTGCGCTTGGCTGTCACCCGCCGTCACCTCCAGGCGTACCTGGGCCTGGCCGAGCGCTGGGTGGAGCAGATGAGGAAGGAAGCCGGGCGCATCACTGTCCTGGAGATCCAGCGTAAGGTCCGGACACGGGAGCTGGGATGGGAGCGGGGGTCTGGGCACAGCCGTTGGCCTCCTGCTAATCCCCGCTGCCCAGCTGCCCACAGATCACGAGGATTTACTGCTACGTGTCCGTGGTCACCCTGCAGTACGTGGGACCCATCGTCCTCACCCTCCACTGCACCCTGCTCCTCAAGACGCTGGGTAAGGAGGCGGCGCGGGGGTGTGGGGGACGCGGGGGCTTGGGAGGGGCAGGGTGAGACCTGCGAGTCATTGTCAAGCCACCCCCAGGCTCTCAAGCCATGGTTTGCAGTTGGCGTGAACCTGATGCCTGCAGTGAGCGTGCTGGGACTCAGCCCCCAGCACCGCTGTAGCATCGGGA